TCACTAAAGTTGTGCTTGGATTTCCCAGCAACAAACCATATAAGTACAGCATGAAATTTGAAATGGATATGGCATTTCTTTGCCAAATTCCCTGTAAATGTTGGTGTCAGTCTCAACGCAACACATTAACCTCAAATTTCACTCTCTCGTCACGAGTCTCCATTTGTACACAGCATAATCCCAAACATGAAGCTGATGATTGCGATGTTGCTGACACAAACAATTGTGGTGACGGCCACACCAACTTTCACGAGCCTAGTTGTAATGCCCATCTGTTACCTGCATAAAGTCTATACAATTTCACTTCTTCGTCAGTCATTAATTTCCATTTTAGCATACTGAAATGTTGCACGAGGTCTCCTATATCTATTATCCATTTCCTACAAAAAATTGTAATAACATCACTATGATTACCAGATATATGTAAATTGCATGATGTATTCAGATATAGCGCGCTAGACAGTCCAGCGTCCTCGGCTGTACAGTGCTAATACTGATCTTATTTGATTACGTGCTACGTTCGTATAGCTGAGTGCGGGGATTCAATAATTATGGCGACAGAGAGGGAGTTCGGCTTTATGACTTCTGAATTGAGATTCATGAAAATGAGCTAGTGAGTTCAAAACTTATGTGATACACGCTAACAGGTGTCATATCCTTAAATATGGGCTACTTCTAAACATTAAAATCATATGACCAAATGTCTTCCAGTGACAGTTTGTAGTCATCGCTCCAGAAGAAACATCTTTACTTTATAAGATTTGAGGCTTTCACGGCGGTGACTATGATGGGATTTTGCACCGTGTATATGTGGTGTTAACCGACGTTTCGGAGGAACGTATCGCCTCCATCTTCAGGGTAGAAGGAAAAATATAAGAAATCCGAAAGCGAAGAGACCCTGAGAACCGGTAAAAGCAGACGGTCTCTTCGCTTGCGGATTTCTTATATTTTTCCTTCTACCCTGAAGATGGAGGCGATACGTTCCTCCGAAACGTCGGTTAACACCACATATACACGGTGCAAAATCCCATCATAGTCACCGCCGTGAAAGCCTCAAATCTTATANCTTTATTTCTCACTGCAATAACTGCTACAGCGGCTCCTCCAGTGACGAATTGTACACCCTTTGAAGCGTGAAGTTCTTGTAAATAAAATCTGTAGTGGGCGAGTCCTTACCTCACAGGAAACAGAGTGCGCCTCCGTTATGAAGACCAACTGGTTAATTCAAGGAAATAATTTATGTTAATTCTGAGAATCATATAAGACGTATATATATGTTCTATGGGAAAAGCTCAGCATTTGTTAATGTTAACAACAGATGGTGTACATAGCAGCCGTTGTGTTTTGAAAGTTTAAGTGTCTCTTCCACGATTTCTATCCGAAGAAGGGCTTATGCATTTAGATTGAAATCATTGGCCCTAAAACAATGTCTAGATTTTTTCCGCCAGTTTTTCTGAATAATATTCATTCCGAAGATATTGTTCACTTGTAACGGATACCAGGAATGCAGACAAATTGACGAAAACGGAAGGACCAGATAAAACTTCGTAGGTCTATAACACACTGTGGCCAAAATTGGAACTAACATTTTTCAATGTATTTCCAAGAGGTCACAGAAGTTTTCGGACAAATTTAGAATACCAGAGCAGACCTAAATACGTCTAATATAAATATAATATTAGCCCAAATTATGAATCGCGTTCTACTCGATCATATAAAGAAACAGTCTCCCACGATGAACTCGAGTATACTCAACAACAGCAGCCAAGAGGCTAAATAAATATTTTCAGATCCTGGAAATATTACGACAGCATTGGTGAATTGTAGCTCTTGCAACAGACTGCGATTTTCATATGACCTCGCGATGTAAAAGACAGATGAAGGTAAGAGAATGATGCTACAATGGATCTTAGATAGGATGGGTTGGTATGGTCTGGATTAATCCGGCTCAGGATGGGGGCGAGTGGAGGTCATAGTAATGAACTTTCGAGTTCCATAAAATGGTGAGAAATTCTTGAGTAATTGCAAAAATGTCAGCTTCTCAAGAAGGGGCAGCTTCTGTAACCGTTCATTCTGATTGGAGGACTATTGTGCACTAATTAAATCTGTATTAAGTTAAGATTACAAAATTACAAACAAAGAGATCCGGCAGATCCCTTCCGGCGGAAGGGACATAGTTCAAGTTTTGCTATGTGAACAGGAAGTAACATCTGGTACATTTCCTGGAATTCTGGCAGTTTCAGCAAAGTCGGAAAGTCTTTGAGAATTTGAGAGCTGACAGCTTGGGACAGCTATAACTTAAAAGTGGGACGGCCGGAGCCTCATCCCATGGTCGTAATGCATCAAGGGGCTCTCAACCTTAGCGTCAGGTCAGCATCTGCCAGACTCACCTAGCAAAGCAACATGATTGGGAATTCAAAATTTAGGGAACCTCCTAGTTTGAAAACTTAACTAATGGCAAAAGTGGAGGAGTGGATTTCTGTTGGAGTCTGGGGTTCGTGGACCTCAGGATTCAGAGGGAGTGCACTCCACCTCGAGGAGTCTTCATACAACTTTCGGCAAAGTCGGACACAAAATTTACAGCTACGGCCCTTCCGTAAAATATTATAAGTAAAGTTCAAATTAAGTGTACTAATAAATTCAGTTGTATTCAGTGAGCCGGAGGGAATTATATGATTACTAAGTGCAACGGTCTAAAGAGGTGTGTGTGATTGTAGAGAAAGGTTCTTCCTGCCCTGCCCGAGCCAGACCCGTATAAGAGCCGGGATATGAACTCAGCTCTACAAAATACCGAACAGAACCCAGATACTCCCGTCTTTACCTGCTCTCGCGTACCAGCTCCAACCACCACAATTCTCCTCCCTTCCCACCTAACTTCTCGACATCCACGAGAAGAGGGAGGACGGTGATAAGTGGAGCACAACGTAGGTTCAAGGAGGACGGTTACAGCGTGGCGCCCAACCTGGGGCCCAAAGAAGTGAGCAGTTACACTTCTTGGGGTTAGTTTAGTTTAATCTTGCGATATAAAACGCTTCGGTCCAAATGGATAAGCGAGACCTGACTTTACAAAGTCCCTTTATTAAACATCTTCCGGAATGCCAATTTTGACCTCATATGATAATGGACATATATCCAGCTAAAATTCTGCCAACAAATTAGAACAAGTTAAGAAACGTACGCATAGCGAACAGCTCTAGAGCTCTCGCGCTGATATTGTCCCTACTAACATTTGAAGCTCTCCTGTAAGAAATATAATAGAGTCGGGGTGAACGAGAAGGGGCATCAGTACAAAATTTGATCAAAATCAGTCAGACGGTTCTTGGGTTATGAGATGACGCTGCGTAAATATCATTTCGTTCAATTATCTCAAGGACAGTGTCACTTCGGAAAAAGTGTTGTGCATGCAAGATGTGTATTTCATGTTTCTCTACAACCTGTGTTTGACATCTCTTTCTTTGCGATTAACATTTGGCGAGTTACGTTCGAGATATTCATAGAAACCCACATAGATCTTCATAGGAATTGTCCTTTACTGTTTCCTGATAAATAATGGGATATTTCGATTCCGTGGCCTGTAGTCCGCAAGCGAACTACACCGATCGAGCGACCACCGCTTGTAGGTGAAGTTAGTGCCAACTTTTGCGGATAGAGGGTGTCGCGTGGTCAGCGCAACGGATCCCCACGGCCGTCAATCTCGGTTTTCTACTTCTCAGAAATTCTGGTAGCGCCGGGAATCGAACCCGGGACCTCAGGACCTGTAGCCAGGAACTCTGACCGCTAGACCACAGAGGCGGTCTTGGGATACTTCGACACAAAGTAAAATTCTCCACTATAAAATAGCCTCTACATCCGCTAAGCAGTTGTCCAGTTGTTCCGTGCGAACAGACCGACAGACACAGCGAAGCGAATAGGCTCAAGACTTAAATCACCGTTGTGAAGTCCTCAATAATTATAATTGCCTCATTACTGCACAAATTTCAAACTTTAAGCTTTGAAACATAAAATTGAGAGCCATCTCAGCATTTGCTCGAAGACAAGAAAACAAGGGAGACCAGTGTCGAGACAGACCATAAAAGGCAAACGATAAGAAGCAGACTACTGGAATAGAAAGAGGGCTATTATTTAGAAGCAGTATAACGTGGGCCGGTCACGGTAGCCGAGCGGTCTAAGGCATGTACTGTCTTCGCTCGCTTGGAAACCGGGATCGTGGGTTCGAATCCCACACAAGGCATGGATTTTTGGTACGTGTATGCGTTTATTGTTTGTTTGTTTTGCCCTGTGTTTACGTAGAGGCCTTGCCAAGAGCTGATCACTCGTCCAAGAGTCCTATCGTCTGTAAAATGATCAAAATGAAGAGTAAAAAAAAAACAATCTCGACACCGTAAAGGGCTTCATATATGTACGAGTCTGGCTCGCGAGTCCGACTCGGCTCGGGTTCCAATGAGCCAAATTCGTCTGTGTGTGGATCGCAAATTTGGGAGTCAGCTCATGCGTTTGTGATTAAATTTATCCGAGACCGGCTCCCGAGTCAAGCTCGCCGAGCCGGACTCGCAAGGCAGACTCGTACGTGTATGGGCCCTTNTGTGCTATCAGCCCCGTTGGCCCAACGAGGTCGGCCCTCGGTACCTTGATGCTTCCCCCATCTACCAGAGGCCCTTAAAAATTCCACGACCTCCGCCGGGTTTGAACCCACGTACCTTGAGTCATGAGGTGGGAACGTTACCCCTAGACTACGGAGGCCGCTTCCCGCCATGACATACTCGTATATACTTTCTCCGTGTAGAGGGGGATGCAGAAGGAACTTGGAATGAACCAAGAAAAATCAATGCAATATCTGAGTCTCGAAACGTGTACGAGGGCTCCCAGTCTGTCAAGTAGGCAGATTTCCCATTAAGACGAAACATGATAACCTGAACAGTACATTACCAACACAGCCCCTTCAAACTTATTCGTCTACTTTACGATCTTTCCACAAATACAGACCATTAAACGTGACTTACCAGAAAGAGAAGTGGGCAGGGGTGCACGACGGCGCCTCCTGATGACGCCGAGAGATGATGATACGAAGTACTGCGTTCCATGCAACAAATCAGGGCGAACCACCCAGGGCAAGTACCACAGGTTGTCCTCCTTCATGCCTGCAACACAAGAGGGAGCATCGCCATATCAGAACAAGGGGGACTGCGGCCGAACTGCTTACTCACGAGAACGCATGCGTCCTACGTCTGTTGAAATAAAACACTCAAGTGTAGTGTTGATAAGTCTGAATTCTTGGGTGAAGGGATATTAAAGCAATTTGCGCTAGTGCAGTTGTTTCTATTTCTGGAATGGCCAGGACTTTGTCGAGCAAAATCCTTCTTTAAAACCGGATAGATGACAAATTAATCAAAAAATCAAATGAATTTTAAAGGAATGGGGTGTAGGGATGTGAACTGGGCTGATTCTTATTTGACGAACTGTTTTAAATTGGTTGTACTGAATTAAGAAAGTGCATTTCAGCACTGAATACAGAATGTTTTTTTTAAGAAAAAAATACCTGCAGTATTTTACAATTTTTGTAAAAGAAAATAAATTATTCTGAGATGTGGTAATGAGTTTAACTTCTGGTAAAGGTAAAGCTATCCCTGTGACAGGTCGTGAAAGCCCATAGTTTTGTGAGACGTCGAGGTCCCACATTTTCTAGACAACTGGCTCAAAGATGGCGGTAAGGTTGTCAGCCTTACGCGCTGGCCGCCTTTTATCCCCACGAATATTCCTGCTACTCATTTCTGTTAGAGGTTGAGTCGACCCAAGGACCATAGTACGACTGGAAGAATAAGGTAAATTGAAAAGAAAATACGACTTCATCGGGAATCGAACCCGCGACCTTCCGGCTTGGAGCATAGTGCCTCAACATTTTGCTGAACCACGATGACTCATCACAGCCAATCACAGTAGCGGCGCAGTCTAAGGCACGAACTGTCTGTGCTCGCTCGAACACTGGGATCATGCAGTCGAATCCCACTCGAGGCATGGATGTCTGTGTGCGTTTATTCCGTGCTTGTGTTGTCCTGTGTTTAGGTAGCGGGCTTGCGACAGGCTGATCCCCCGTCCAAGGAGTCCTACCGTCTGTGAATAGGATTAAGAAACTGAAAAGCTGCCAAGGTCCAACAAAAGGACCACAGACAGACAGGCAGAGTCTCATTACCAGTGGGCCACATGAATCCAGACGACAATATCTCACCGAGCTTCCTTACTATCAGTTTCAATATCATCTTCCCAAGAGAGAAAGTCTGTTCACGCCGAAACAATTCTTTCATTCGGGAGATTACTGCTGCGACCTCAGCGGGAACATCGAAAGTTCAGACCGAGCTCTTTAGTGAACTACCTCAGCTTATCCACAAAAATCCTGGGACAGTACCTCAAATTCGACCGCGGTCGGTTCCTTCAGTATACTTAACAGTTCATTATTCACCACCCTGCCCTATCACTTGAGGCTTGTACATGCTGAGCTGTTGAGAGCGGCCTAAATAAAGCACAAATAAGTACGCAATATATCTTTGTGTCTACGCATTTGTCTCGAAAGCTGTGTCTCCGTTTGATTCAAACGAAGTACAGAGACCTCACCGTTGCTAAGCAGTTCGGTATCTGCATGCTCTGTAGCAGCGAACATTGTGCCACTCATCTTAACAGGGCCCACCTGTTATTACATGTTTGCCCAGGTATAATCGCTCTCATAGACTAACAGTACACAGCTGATGTGGTGTGGGAAAGTGTCAGGCGCAGCGTACACAGACATCTTCAAGCAACACTGCTTAAATAGGGTTGCAGTTCTGTGTTGTGTGTCTCACTCTCTCTTCGCGAATATTCGAAACTGATCAAACAACATACGGAACACATTTCTCTTTGATATGTTAACAGTTAAAATTTTCGTTTAGTGGGGGGTGGAGTCCAACTGGGTCCACTCGGCACGGTGGCCACTGAAAGGTCTATTGTAGCCTGCCCCGGGTGATTATGATGATGGAGAATTTGGTGGAATGAAAATTGGCAGGGGAAACCGAAGTAATCGGAGAAAACCCACCCCAGCGCCACTTTGTCCACCACAAATCCCACTTGACCAGACCCGGGATCGAACCCGGTACGCCGCGGTGGGAAGCCAGCGACTAACCGCTTGAGCTATGGCGCGGCCTAATGTTTTAGTTGCTTGTTTATCGACGCTGCCAGGATCGACATTATGTAGCGTCGGAAGACAGGATGATAATGTAGATGGAGTAGTTGATCTGGATGGAAATATGTACACTAAATACACTTCCATTCATCAATGGCTCTACACTCCTGTGCTGGGCCCTGGCATTTTCTTCAATTTCGTAATCATTTTAACACAGACGGTAGGACTCCTTGGACGGGGGATCACTCCGTCGCAAAGCCGCTACCTACACACAGGACAGCACACACAGAATAAACGCATACAGACGTCAACGCCGTGAGTGGGATTCGAATCCACGATCCCAGTGTTGGAGTTAGCGAAGACAGTTCATGCCCTAGATTGCGTGGCACGTTTCAATATCCAATGATCTAATATACGTATTACATCTTGTTCCATTTAATATCTTAGATCGTTATTAAATATTGTTTGGAGTTTGTTTCCTTAACGACCCTTTCTTCGCCGCATAAGCGATATGGGGCATAATGTTGCGATAATGGTGAATTATGCATTTATGAAAGATGTGAAGAGAGGAACTATAACCTGTTCTAGATAGGTCTACTATCACATCATTTGCCTAGAAAGACTGAGGAAAAAGCATAAAAAATGTTAGGATGGTTGAAATTCGAGCAAAGAATCAACTTTTCTCAAAAACAGGTAGAAATGCTAACAATAAAACCAGCACTGTCGGTAATATTTTGTACAGGATAAAATTAAAAACAACGTTAGGACATGAAGAAAGCAGTCTTCTGGGATGTGGCACCGTGTAGCTGTGGTGTTAACCGACGTTTCGGAGGAACGTCGGTTAACGCCACATCCCAGAAGATTGCTTTCTTCATAGTCACCGCCGCCAAAACCTCAAATCTTACAACGTTAGTACAGTTGTTTTGTCATGAACTTGATGCAGACTTATTGGGAGTTATACGAGCACAAGTCGCTGCTGTGAAAAATAGAAAAACTACCACATTATTACTTTTCCTGGATAGTCTCTTTCCAAAAACAGAGGTACCATGTATGCGAGATTAAACTGGAGGGGCGGATAGAAGTGCCCAGAAGACGAGTAAGAAGACGTAAGAAGATGCTGGGTGACTTTGGGGACAGAAGAGGATACTGTCATTTGAAGGAGAAAGCTCTAGATCGCATTAAGTGGAGGAACTGTTTTGGAAGAGACTGTGGACCTGCCGTCTGACAGATTACAGATGAATGAATGAATGAATGAATGAATGAATACGAGCACATACACAGACACGCGAACGGCATCATAGATCTAGAATGTTTTTCCTTCTTCCCTTAATTAAGGTAAAACTGAAGTGACAGCTCATTTCCAGGCTCCGTTCGTACGGTGTTCAGAGATGTCTGCAGCCCAGCAGAAAGGTTCCACACTGTTGTGTACACCCTGTGAGCATGTGGCCTGCTTGGACCAGCACCAAAGGTTAACGGGAAGATGAGCAACTCGGCTGCCGCGTCTGAGTGGTCCAGTAGCATCGGATCTGCCACCGCAAGCTTCACATTCATTCATTACACCTTATTCGACCACATATTGCTTACAGACTTATTAAACAATTGAGTTATTATTTTCTTAATTTCATGCGTCCTGCTGTGCTACAATATACAACTCTTTAATGAACCGTCACAACACAACAAATACGTAGTAAAACATCAAAGTCAGCGTTCAGCTGTGGCTTTGCTGCATGTTTCGGCCACTATCGGCCATCATCAGGCGAATACATATCAACAAAAATCTACCATTTATTTATTATTTACTTATATATATTCTTCAGCCATCTAATATTAAAAGCTATCGTCATTTATATAAACAATTTCAATTGTCATATTTTCACGTTTATTAACTTAATATGTAATATATGGTACGGTCCGTTGAAATGTAGCGGGGAATAATTTTTTTGCATCTGCATCCTTCCGCTCCTTTATCCTTTTCGTATATTTATCTCCCTGTTTCCTTTCTCAGTTAGTTACAGCTTTATTCTTCAGATGGCACAGTTTTGAACATAACGGTACCATTGGTTGAAGTTAGTGCAAATTACATGGTTCCATGGCGCGAGAACGGCATAACATACAACTATAGTCAATTGCAAGCCGTCTCATCTTTATTTCTCTTTGCAATAAAATCGTAATGGCGGTCCGTCATATCGTCTGTCCACATGCGTTAGTTGCCGGTAAGTAAAAAGGAAGTAAGTAAGTAAAGCTATCCCTGTACCAGGCCGTGAAGGCCCATAAGGTTGTGAGATGTTGAGGCTTCCACGTTTCTAGACAATCGGTTCACAGATGGCGGTAAGGTTGTCAGCCTTACGCGCCGGCCGCCCTTTACCCCCAGGAATATTCCTGGTACTCATTTATGTTAGAGGCTGAGTCGACCCCAGGGCCATAATGCGGCTGGAAGGATTAGGTCAATTGAAAAATCCACCTCTTCGGGATTCGATCCCGCGACCTTCCGGCTTGTAGCATAATGACTCAACCAACTAAGCTACCACGCGCCCCAGTTGCAGGTATCGTAACACTAATTTTGCCGGTTGGTGAATATCTTAATGATAGTCTCCCTATCGTCAGCTGTCGTTATCTTCATTAAAACGCTTATTTAGAGGATCCTGTTGAAATTTTCATTGTTCTGTTTCTGTATTATATGTTATGACTGAATTGTGAGTAAGCAGAGTACAGCGTCTAGCACACGCACGCAAACACACACACACATACTCGTATATTCATCAATTTCCTTCTTTTTATTATTTACTATTTACCACTTATATTTACTATTATTTATTATTTACTTATTTATATTTCTTATTTAGCTGTTGAGTATGAGAGCCTTATGCCATTGTGTATTAACTTCATAATTATTACAACATTTTTATGTCTACTAGTTTATTATCCTATTAATTAATATATTTTTAATTCACTTATTTATTATTTAATGCTAAGCTTCTATATTTTATTCAA